TTCGTCCATTAAAGGAAAATTGTCGTTCAGGTCATCGAAGTAAAACATAGAGTTGGCCATGAAGTAATCGATGTTTCGGAGACGTTGAACATGCAACTCAACTCTCTGGTGGCATTGACTACGCCCTGGTTACATACTTCCTTTGTGGGGAAAATTGACTGAGGTTTGACATCTGATAGCTCGCGAGTGTCGCCAGTACCCGTGTTATTTGTTCACACCCATATCATAGCCACCCTCAACACAATCAATCGACAAAAGAAGGGAAATGAGAGAGGAAAGAGAATGAGAGGAAGCGCTCAAAGCCTTATCTCTATTTCATATTTTTGTCGGCAATCTTTTGATTTTTGAACAATGAATTTTCCTTCTCTTTTCTTCGAGTTTGCCACTTATGAGAGTGATCTGCATCTACCAACCCAACGTGCACAAAGGTCCTTCATCAATTCTGGTCACTACAGTCGATGTGGTTTCTCTGTAGTGATGATGTTAAGTCAGACTACAAGAATTGGTCATGATAGCATGCTACTTGGTGAGGAATTAGTGACTTCAAAGACTGGTACAAACTTGATTATTCCAAGATTCTGACAACAGTAATATCCTTCTCGCGCTGATACACAAATCACCCGCTTACAAGGCATTGATCAGGGTGATGACGATCACGCAGCGTGAAGCACTACTTGATTGTAACTCAACAAACGTAAAAAATGTGGTCCCATCTACTGACGATGCCAATTACTCAGAGTACACATGTCCTGTGTAAGTAATTCTCAACGACCTCTTTTCCATCAGACAGGGCGCAAGGGTTGCACAACCAATATTATTAAAAGGACTCATGCATAAAACCCTTGAAGGAGATCCTATATGATCTTGGTTTGAGTAATCCCCCTCTTCTCTAATTAGTACAATGCACCACTTGTCCGTTTCTTACTCCCGACTAGTTACAATACTATTCAAGGACTGTTAAAGAGAAAGCGTACAACGTAGTAGCTCATTGAGCAATTACCACTCGATCAATGGAGAGAACACTAGTCTGTTAAAAGTTGACATCGACTTTAGTCAGTGCACACTTGTCTTCTCACAAGAGTTTCGTGAAGTCAACCTGCAAGTACCAACGCCTATGGCTACCTGATGATAACTCACAAATCATCGTGTCACCAGATTGAAGTCGAGAAATAAAAGGGATAGAAGATCACTCGTAGTCATATTGATAGCATCAACAAGCTCGTTTCTTCACAATGACTGAAATGAAACATACAGCTACGGCTAACAAGGGTTACACGAGGGAGAAGACGTAATCATTCAGTTATAAGTTCTCACACATCCAGCGAGCGACTTGCAGGATCTCGTTTCTGTTCTCCAGGTGCGCTGCTAGTACATGTCCCATGCACTTGCCTTGGCAATAGGGGATACCACAGACTGTGCATGTGGAGGCTTGCGACATCAACCACGATGCATGGGTGCACTCTCTCTTGTCGATGTCTGGTTCTCAAAAATGTCAGAATGCACCGCTAGCTCTTTGCTGTAACATGCCCATCGATGATCACGCATCCCTCTCTCGCCATACGCAGTTGCCTCACTATCCCTGATGGCGACGAGTGGTCTAAAAACAAACAGTGCAAACTTGCCAGAGCCTAGAAGACAACCGAGTACTTAGCATGCCTTAGCATGATCATGAAATACGTATATTGTATCATCTCCAGTCATCTCTCTCAAAAGAGCAGGCTCGCTAGTAGAAGTCAATGATTACACGCAAGAAGCATTTGACGTCAACAAAAGGGGGATCACGCCCATCATCGCTCATCCCTCTCGAGTGTGTGGTAGTAATCTGACCTCTCTCCCTCTTCTGTGTGACTAGTACCTTACTCTGTACATTTTCACCCTCCCTACTGGCCGTTACCACCTCGTAGCCTCAATTCCCCTGTCAGCGTGAACTGGCCTCGGGGCCGTCCTCCACAGACTCAGCGGGCGGGTGGTCCCGCTGCCATTTGTCCAGGGCGTGCCAGGACTGTCTTTGCACCACTGGCGTCTGAATCGGCCTCAGAGTCACGGTCCAAATGATGCTGCTCGCGCTCCGTGGTTCTGGTAGTGGTCTCAATCTCGTGATATGAGATTGTCACTTGGACCTCCGTCGTGACTCCATCCCTTCTGCACCTTCGCTTGGCTCGGTTCTTGGCCTGTGTGACCGCAGCTTGCAGCTTCCAGTCCACTCTCCTCTCGCTCCCTCGACGTTGATCTTTAGTTTCGCCTCTTCACAATCAAAATTTAGAATGGTTGTGATCCAGGGCCCCTCCCCTGATACTAGAGACCAATGCGTTAAGAGTCTCCAGCAGTCTGGCTTGTAGCCATGGAACCCATTACGACAGGCCATAGCTGCTCACCACTAAGGCCTCCAAGTACAACAAGATCAGAGTCTTACCACCCACACCCAGATAGCAGGCCTGTCAAGGACAGGTAGCAGTTGGGCCCTAAGTGGCGATCCCAGCCAGTAAAACCAGAGCAGCATAACTTCTAGCACTTACTGATCTTGCGAGAGCGTCATCCTCGTGACTATTCTTTAATAGGGCTTGGACAGTGCCGCAGCTCCCGTGCTTGAAACAAAGATTTTACGACTTCTCAAATCGGTTAATATAACAAAGTATAATAGAATAAAGTATCAACCAATAAAAGTAAAATTAACATAAAAGTTTAGTACACCAACAGTCATTTAAATAAGAACGCTTCTTCACAGTCAGCGCTCGTGGTCTTTTCACTCGGTCTGAAAAGACAGCACACTTGGCGCGCCGTGTGGTCCCATAAGGGGATACCGACTGAAGCGCCTCTCCCTTCAAAGGAGATCTTCGGGTTGCCCCCATGGGTACCCATGTCCGATGTCCGATCTGATCTTATCTTATCCGATCTGATCTGATCTGATCCACGACGGCCAGTGGCAGAAACTGATTCAACACTGATTGGTATGCGATAAAACATGTACCGGTCGTGTGTTTGCCAGCTTGACCTCTCGCTAGGGTGGCTGGTTAGCTTGCCCTCTCACGTCCTCCTGTCGCCCTTTTCAATCAATCAGCCTTGACATGGTCCGCTTGAGGGAACAGGTAAACCGCTCCCTATTTCCCTCTGAAGTTTGCTGTTCTCCATTCTGTTGCCCTCTCTCTATAATTAGTTAGTCTTGATGGAGAATCAATAAGAAATGTATCTCTGATCTAAAGGCTCTTTTCGTTGGTGTCTCTGTTTGTAATCCATGTGGTGTTTCTTTTTTCTTTTGCTGTTTATAAGGGGGTGGGTGCAGTCGGAAGGAATTCCCACAGAGAACCAGCCGCGGCCCTAAGAGGCAGGCGATACGGTGAGACAGCGCAGGAAGGGAGGGTCACAGCAGCTGTACCTGACGTTTGTATCTGGATCCCTTGAGCTTACCGTCCCTCTTTTGCTGCCTCTAGAAGGGAGAGCAGGAGGAGAGCAGAGGAGGAGAAGAGGTAAGATTGATGGATCCAGGAAGGGAACCAGTTCCTCTGCCGATGGGTGTCCTGCATTCGCAAGCACGCGGCTGAATCATTTCCCTTTCCCTCCCTTGACGATCCATTCTTGAATCTACCTTGAAGATTCATCCTTGAATCTTCCTTGAAGATGCATACTTGAACCTTCCTTGGAGATCCATCCTTGATGATCTTCAGTCTTCAAGGAACGGCAGGCGTCCTTCAGCTCCGCGTACAATGGACGGAGAGATGTGAGATGGAGGAGTATGACAGCATTCACTCACCAGGCCGAGCATGCTGTAGTCCGGATTTGCTCCCTCCTCATTGCCAGCCTTGCAAGATCTCAATTGTAGAATCCTCTAGATTGCAATCTTTTCGTCAGTGTGATTGCTATCAGTCACCCTCTGGCTGATACATAACATTTAATTACATTACAATGCAATGACCGCAATGTTTCTTTTTCTTTCTTGCAACTGCCCTTGAGCCTAACGTGGATCTTCCCTGCCTACCGCTAGATTGCATTCACCCTGTACATTGTCCTCAATGTCCTGTCGCCCGCAATACCCGCTGGATCACCCACAGTGTAAGCTGCTTATAATTCCCATGCAGGGAATCCTTTCACCGGCAGAGGAGTAGAGGACATGTCAAGGGCTCTGTCCTGTCACCTCACCGCACAGCAGAGCGTGGTGGCGTATGGCAATAAAGTCAACTGAGGCCGGCAGTGCTTCACATGCTAATTTCAATGAAAAAAAAACCACCTTTCCTGTTACTCACTATTTGCCTGTCTGTGGGTCTGTCTGTCTGTCTGTCTGTCTGACTGACTGTCGGTGTGTCTGTCTGTGTGTCTGACTGTCGGTGTGCCTGTCTGTGTGTGTGTGTCTGTGAGTGTGTGTATGTCTGTATGTCTGTATGTCTGTATGTCTGTATGTGTGTGTGTATGTGTGTATGTGTGTATGTCTGTATGTGTGTATGTCTGTATGTATGTATATGTGGATGTCTGCATGTATGTATGTATATGTGGATGTCTGCATGTATGTATATGTGTTGTCTTGTTCGCTACGCACAACTCCACAGAGAAAAGCATGGCTGTGCCAGACTGTTTCGTCGGAATTTCACTCACTCATCAGGAGGTTGAACTCCTGTGTGTGTGCGCATTCGGATCCCATTTCCGTAGTTCCGTTCCATCGTTGGGGGTGTAGTGCAAGTGGTGACTGCATATACATGCAAGCGCACGTTGTGTGCGCTGATTCGCGGACCCTTGGCGCTCAAGCGCACCCCAACGGAGCGGCGCACGACCTGCCCGGCGAAGGCCCAGGCCAAACCTGAAAAAAACAAAACAAAAAAAAAGCCCGATTCATCCCTGGGCCTGTCCCCCAGCAAAAATAGTTTTGGGGCCTAAATGTTTTTGTTTGGCGGATCGCGCTCAAGCACGGCCCGAAACGATTTCGAATTTCATTTTGGGTGGGGGGAGGGGGGGGCGCACCGTTTCTCAACCGTAGTTTTCGCAGGTCGATACTGGCAGGGCTTCAGCAGGCCGTTTGCCTCGTTGCGGCCGCCTCCAGTCCACTCCGGGAAGCAGCGCCGTCAGTCCCCCGCCACGCGCATCGCCGACCTCCCCCTGCATTGCATCATCACCGAGGCTGAGATCTGGAGCGACCATCGCCGACTTTAACCCTCCTCCCTCCTCCAAGGTGAGTCTTCAGCAGCCCTCCTGCCCTCCTGCCCTCCTGCCCTCCCTCGAACTCACCTCCTCCTCCTTCCCATCTTCCCCTTCCTCCTCCTCCTCCTCCTCCATCTCTCCTCCTCGTCTCGGTATTGTTCTTTTTCTTTCTTTTTTTTCCATAGTATCGGATCTTGTACTCGGACTACCTCCTCGTCACCTCCGCTTCCTCCTCGTCCCCTCCTCCATCTCTCCTCCTCCTCGTCACTTCCTCCTTCACCTCTCATCAGCCTCCCCTCCTCTTGCATCTTTCCTTCTTCTCCTCCTCCTCCTCCTCAAGGTCTCATCATCTTTTCTTGTGTAAACTTCGATCTGTGTTGGTATCACCTCCTCTACCCTTATCCCTCCTCATCCCTCTTTCCTCCTCCATCTCTCCTCCTCCTCCTCCTCCGTCCTTCCCCGTCCATCTTTCCCCTTCCATCTCTGTCCTCCTCCTCCGTCCCTCCTCGTCCATCTTTCCTCCTCCATCTCTCCATCTCTTCTCTGCCATCTCTCCATCTCTACTCTTCCACCTCTCATCCTCCTTGTCACGGCCTCGTCGCTTTTTCTTTTTTCTTTTTTTATTGGAAACTTTGAAATTCGAACTGTGATGGTATCTCGTCCTCCTCCTCCTCCTCTATGCCTCCTCGTCCTCGTCCTCCATCCCTCCTCGTCCATCTCTCCATCTCTCCATCTCTCCATCTCCACCTCCCATCCTCCTTGTCACCGCCTCGTCACCTTTTCTTTCTTTTTTTTTAATGGAAACTTCGAAGTTCGAACTGTGATGTTATCTCCTCCTCGTCGTTGTTGTCCTCCTCCTCGTCCTCCATGTCTCCCCATCCTTCTCCTCCATCCCTCCTCGTCCATATTTCCTGCTCGATCTCTCCATCTCTCCTCCTCCATCTCTCCTCCTCAATCTCTCCTCCTCAATCTCTCCTCCTCCATCTCTCCATCTCCCCTCCTCTACCTCTCATCCTCCTTGTCACGGCGTCGTCCCTTTTTTTAATTTTTTAATGCACACTTCGAAGTTGATGATATCTCCTCCTCGTCGTCGTCGTCGTCCTCCTCCTCCTCCAGATCTCCTTGTCCTCCTCCTCCATCCCTCCTCGTCCATATTTCCTGCTCCATCTCTCCATCTCTCCTCCTCCACTTCTCATCCTCCTCATCACGGTTTCGTCACTTTTGTGTTTATTCGAAACTTCAAAGTTCGAACTGCGATGGTATCTCGTCCTCATCACGTCGTTGTCGTCGTCGTCGCCCTCCTCCTCCTCCTTTTCATCCTCCTCCTCCATCCCCCCTTCTCCATCTCCTCTTTCTTCCTCCATCTCATCTCCTCCTTGTCACGCCCTCGTCACTTTGTTTTTTTTTTTTTTCAATGAAACTCTAAAAATCGAACTCCGATTGTATTTCCTCCTACTTGTCACGTTGTTGTCGTTACTTCTTTTTCCATGGACATTTGGAATTTCCATGGACATTTGGAATTTCCATGGACATTTGGAAAGCAATTGTTTCCGTTTGTGAAACAGTGAAAGGCAATTAATCGTTTTTTTTCCCCGTTTATGTTTTGTAAGAGCAGTGAAAGTGCTATTTTCGTGGGTTTTGGGGGGGGAGGAGGGGGTGGAATAAGGCTCTGATTTCATGGGGTTTC